TTTTTTTTTTTAAAGATTTCATTTATTTATTTGAGACAGAGAGAATGAGAGAGACAGAGAGCACATGAGAGGGGGGAGGGTCAGAGGGAGGAGCAGACTCCCTGCAGAGGAGGGAGCCCAATGCAGGACTCGATCCCGGGACTCCAGGATCACGACCTGAGCCGAAGGCAGTCGCTTAACCAACTGAGCCACCCAGGCGCCCGATTTTAGGCCATTTCTTAAGGGGTTTCGGGTTGTAGCCGCTGCAGAGCGATCTAAAGAGGGGAGGAAATGATCAGTCCAATGATAGGACAGAGGAATAAGCTTCAAAACCAAATGTGGAGTGTAAGAAAGAGACATGACCTAAGAAAGAATACGAAAATACCGTCTTTGGATTTGGTGGGTCTAGAGTGCCACCGATTTTTCTCAAAGGGACATCTGAGCTTCAGCCTCTGAAAAACTGTCATTAACTATACTACGTAAAAGCCTGTGTCCTCATCAGTTTTCCTGAAAGATAGCATATGTTACAAAAGCAGCTGGCAAACTGTAATCATTTATATTCCCTTCAGACTTCAAAGGGGGCATGGAGTTATTACAAGAACATTCTAGAAGAGCTGTAACCATCAGGAACAAATCAGAGAGGCAGCAGTCCTTGGATATTCGTTTTCCCGGATACATTTCTGAAAACGGGATGACGAATTTAACCCGCCAGATGAAGCACTCGTGAATGGCACATGAACCCGACAGATACCAACTTTCTCACTCAACATGGCTGTCATGGCCTGTAACAGCTGTCTGATTTCAAGACTGACGTTTCACAGAGAAAACGTTACGAACTCTGCTTTAGAAAATCACAGTCAGTCATAGTCAGACTTCTGAAGTCTGTGTGTGGTTTGATGCTTTGGGGTTCTTTTTTCAGTTCCACATAGGGGTACCCTGCCTCATCTCGGCCTCTGCCAGGAACCCGGGCCACCTACATCCTACTTCTCCTTCCCCAGCCTCAACCCCCTCAGGTCCCCGCCCTGTTTTCCCGGTTAACTCTAAGTTTCTCGTAAGCACTACCTCCTCAGGGGGGCCTACTGGTCCCTCATAGCCATATTTCCCTTTTTGTGATCCTCACAGGGCACGCTAGCTACCGGTGTAATGTCCGTCTTCCTGACTAGAACTAGACCGGAAGTTCCGCCCACCAGAGCCATGCCTATCCTCTCTGTATGGTTTATCGCTGTCCCAGTCCTGGCTGACAGCAGGTGGCTCTTCAAGCAGCACCTGAATTAAGTTGGGTCTCCCGGGAATGACCATGACTTGTACATCCATTTTTCAGACTCTGATATGTAACAGCCACATCTAGGACTGGGTCATTCCCTCCTCTTCCTCCTCCAGGGGTTCCTTCCTCCCCTCCAGGGTTCAAGAGGCAGCCAAATATATTGCTGGTTTTATCTCCTCGAGATTCATATGAAGCTCATCCACAAGACTCTGACACCTGTCCAGCCCTTCAGATCACCGGGCATCTTGTGGAATCAAGGGGAGGAGGTATTGATCTGAGACTGGGCAAAGGGGCGTAGGCACTTAAGCTGGGTGCTCACAAGGAAGGAGCATTTCACGGATGCCCATTTAGTGAGTGGTTCTAGTTCTCCTGATTTCTGCCTCTGGCCATGGCGCTTTCAGATTCTTGGACTTTCCCAAGCCCTTATTCCCTTATCAGAGAGCTCACATCCCCTGGTGATAGATATGAAGTAAAAAAGTGCAGCGAATTGGTTTTACTCTATGTAAACCCAATAGTGAGGATGGGAACAGTTGGTGACTTTTGCCTGAATTACAAGAGCGATCTGTTTACAATTATCTGTGCACTAATGCCCAAGTTTAGGTTCTAGTAGGTATGGAGCGCCCTTGCCTGGTAAATGTAAATCTGCAATTGGGAAATTTCCCTCAGTCATAGCATGTTACAGCGGTTCTCAAATTTTGATGTGTGAAGGAATCATCAGAGAAATCTGATTAAAACTTAGGCTCCCAGCCTCAGATCCAGAGATTCTAGCTCAACTGGGTTTGGATTATGACCTTGGGATCTGCCCACTTAAAATGAGCCCCCAATGAAGTTGACCTGTGTGGCCTACGTCTTGAGACCCACTGGCCTAGGGGCTAAGAGTTGGGCTTGGAACCAAGGTCAAGTTATCCCTCTGCCAGTGGTAGGACCACTCAGAGTCTCAGGTGGTCCATCTGTCAAAAGGCAGTAAGAATATCAACTCCATAGGGTTGTCGTAGAATAACATGAGGTCCTAATATAAAGGGTGTGGTATGTACCCAGCACATGCCAACTCTTATTATTTGTAGCATTAATATTAATTAGCTCAAGCTACAGGGCCAGAGAAGACCAGGAAAAGCTTGGATTTTCTGGGCCAAACAGGCATTAAGTCTTGGGTAAACCTGTGCAGTCAGATGCTGCATTGGACAGAGACGTCTCCCTCGAAGGACAGCCAATGATTGCTGACCCCCACTTAGACTTTACCACACAAGAGAAAAGCAGTGCCCAGCTGGGGGGCTGCTGAGGGCACTGAACAGCCTGGGCAGAAAAGCGCTTTGAGACTAAGGCCCTTATGAGTAGGGAAGGTGTTTCTATGCTTCTTTGTACCTCCCAGGCCAAATGGGTAAAAGAGAAGTTGAAGACAGCTTCTCTGTATAATGATATTAAGGGAACAATTTCTGTTTTTTCATCTGTAAAACGGACACGAAAGTAATATTGTGCCCACCTTGTTCTGAAGAACAGATGAGGGAGGAGATATATAAAACCCTTTGTGTGATGACTGACAGAGGTGGGCCTTGGAGACTTTTGTTAACTTTCCCATCCCTTCTGGTGTGAATATATCTGTAGCATCTTATTCGGACATACTGATCAGGAGAAAAGCAACTGATGATCGAGTTGTGTAATGAGATTTTAGAGCAGCGTTTCTTATTCTTTTAGGAATCTCTTCCCCTGAAAGACTCTATACTTTCTTTTAATACACCTACAGATGGCCTCAGCTTACAATGGTTCGACTTAAGATTTTTCAACTTTATGATGGTGTGAAAGCAAAAGGTATTTGGTAGAAACTGTACTTTGAATTTTCATGTTTCCCCAGGCTAGCGCTGTGTGGTAGATACGCCCTCTTGAGACTGGGTGGGAGCAGCGAACACAGCTCCCAGGGTCCAGGACAAACACATTTCCTGCTATTTCGGACCCATGCAGTCATCCTGTCTTTCGCTTTACAGTATTTCATAAATTACATGAGCTATCCAGCACTTGTTTTTTTATAGAACAGGCTTTGTGCTAGATGGTTTTGCCCATCTGGAGGCTACTGTCAGTGTTCTGAGGACATTTGAGGTCGGCTGGGCTCATCGACCATGTTCCGTAGTTAGGTGCCTTAAATGCATTTCGACTTGCAATATCTCCAACTCAGGTTGGGTTTGTTGGGATGTTCACTCATTGCAAGTCGAGGAAAATCTGTATGTTTATTGTTTCACATGTTTCATATATATTATAATCATACATCTGTGTATCTATAATACACAGTTATTGTAATTCTGTTTTTGCACATCAGGCGCCCAGTACTGAGGTTAGAAGACAGCAAGGTAATGTAATGACCCGGCAAGTTGTGAAGTCAGGGTGGACTATCCTATTGATACACTTTCATCCACGTTTCCATTTATCTCCCGTGTATTTTCAAATTCTTTCCACGGACAGCATTTAGTCCAACTTCCCAGCTTAGTGTGAGCGAGCCCGTCCTAGCGGTGTCGTGCCCCAGGATCCACCACTAGGGGGAGCCACTGGTCCACCTACAGAAACGGGAGCCGCAGGGTGCCCATCAGAGGCCAAGTCCGCAGGTTACCAGTAACATATTTCAGATTTATTAAAAAACACATAGGTAACAAGTCAGAGCTTTGGCTAGGAATGATTTGGAAAAGAATTGAAGGCATTACTCCACATAACGTTCACAGTTGTGTGCCAGAGACAGAGAGCAAGGACGTGTTTTAGAAGCATTTGCGGTGGACAATGGACGGCCCGGCCTCGTCATATTCCTGTTTGCTGATCCACATCTGCTGGAAGGTGGACAGAGAGGCCAGGATGGAGCCCCCGATCCAGACGGAGTACTTGCGCTCCGGAGGGGCAATGATCTGTTGGCCAGGATGAGAAAGAAGGACCGTTAGCACGCTAGAACAGGGCCGGGCATTCCCCCAGGGTGCAGACTGGGTGGACCTCGCAGGAGTCCCATGGACAGCGGAGACCGTCTCAGCTGTCAGACACCTGGCCCTAACCCCACGTTGACCCTAAGCCAACGGAGGCGACTAGTGAATTTAGAGACTCTCCAATGAGAGTCTCCGAGCTTACTCTATGAGTCTTCTTCCACCTGTTTAAGGCCACTGACATGCACTGTTTCACACTGGAGGGCTCAGGGTGCCCTGCTGGATGACCATTTCCCTGGGGTAGGTCCCAGTAAGCTGCCCTGGCTGGCTCTCCTTGACTCATGCCAGGGGTCCCATCTACCCACAGGAACCCCAAAACATAGCTACAGCTGAGCACTTCCCAATCTTGCTCCCGACTTGGATACTTAGGTAGAGACAAATATGGAGACTTGGGCAAAAAGACAAGGTATTTCCGAAACCACGGTGGAAAGGTTTAATTTCTGTGTATCCCCCAAGCTCTGTTTGAACGTTTATTTTTCATATACGTAGCTGATACTGAGCACCTACTATGTGCCTAGCGCGATGCTAAGCGTTTTACATGTATTACCTCAAACCAGTTTAGAGAGTATTGAATTAGTGCCATGTCACACATGGGGAAACAGAGTCTGAGAGAGGTTTACGTAACTGATGTAGGTCACACTGGTTGTGCACCTGTCAGACCCGATATTCAAACCTGGATCTCTTCCAGGTGTGGTTTTGTTTTGTTTCATTTTGTTTTAGAAACAACCTTTCCATTTGGGGGTAATTTTAGTTGGATAGACAGGTGGTAGGTAAAAGACAGTCCAGAGTTCCTATAACCCCCGCCATCCAGTTTCAGTTTTCCCTAAAGTCATCACCTTACGGCCCCAGATTTTTTAACGGGTTTTCTCTCCCCACACGGGAGCCCCACGTTCCACATTCGTGTTATTCGAGAAGCCAGGTTTGGGGAAGCAGGACCGGGCCAGCTCTGGCTGCTGCCGCCGTGTGTAATACACCCCCACCCGGGCAGGCTTTGTCAGTGAGCCCAGAGCTGGTTGCATGTCTCTCCGGCAGGTGTTCGAGGGAGAGGGGGAGACAGCCGATCAGAGGAGCATTCAAGAAACACCAGCCTCAGGAAACTGTCTCTCCTCTTACCATGCAGTCTTTCAGAGCCTGTGATGCAGGCAGAGAGCGTCGCTCTCTTTCTGTTATCGGCAAACCCTCTTCAAAAAAGGACAAGGGAGTGCAAATAACAGAGAATGTGTTTGAATACTTCTCGCGTGCGCGAGTGTGAACTGCAGGTGGAGTGTCCTCTCTTCTGCTCCCTGGGACACGGGTCAGAGAGTCCCAGCATGGCTTCTGATTTCAGAGCGGGATAACAGCTTTTGAGAAGTCGCCAGGCACACGTAAGTTGCCTCCAAAGAACCATCTCTTTTTAATCTCTGAGTTCCTGCGACTGGGACTCAAAACACATAACATAAGGGTCTTTGGTAGCTCAGGGACCAAGCTTGGTCATCATGGAGGGATTCTGTGCTTCTGAGCACCTAGATCAAAAGGAGTGCCAGACAGAGAGCTGAAGATACCACTCTTAATTCTTGGCCACTGAGCTGTGATCACTTTTGGAAAAAGAGTACATGCTCTAGAATCTACAGCATTTAAACCTCTTTGGAAACACGTCTGGCTCATCTCATTTTTTATAATGTTTTATGTGTGAGATGCACTAGTTCTGTGATGGGGGAAAATGACACCATGTCTACTTTTAAGAGATATAATGGAAATCATCTAGATTTACTGTGGGGATCATTTCACAATATATGCAAATATTGAATTACGTTGTACACCTGAAACTAATAGAATGTTACATGAGAGTTACATCTCAATAGAAAAATAAAGGGCTATGCTCACACAGGGAGCTCTGATGAACTTCACTCCTGAAAGTAGCTGACGGACAAAGGTAATTATAGATTAAATTTTGTGCAAAATAATTTAGCTTCTCTGATGAACTGGACTGACTTAAATCCTATAAAGAGCAGAACTTGTGGATATGGACCCACTGCTTAGCCCTGGAAACCACGAGCACACGTGAGCACGACGTGGCCTCTGAAGGGCCCGTCTCGTCTGGTGATGGAGTTGGTATCATAGCCTGAAGCATAGCTGTGGCACCTGACCCTGAACCATACCTTGATCTTCATGGTGCTGGGCGCCAGCGCAGTGATCTCCTTCTGCATGCGGTCAGCAATGCCGGGGTACATGGTGGTACCCCCCGAGAGGACGTTGTTAGCATAGAGGTCCTTCCTGATGTCAATGTCACACTTCATGATACTGTTGTAGGTGGTTTCATGGATACCAGCAGACTCCATCCCTGCAAAGGAGACACGGGCCATGATCCTTGGGTGGTGGGCAAAACCCAGGAAGAGCTGCATGGGCCGTTGGAGGGTCTTACGTTGGACTGAAGCTAAGTAGGCATCGCAGTGTGGGAACCGCCCATCCTTAGAGTCTCCATGCGCTCCCACCTCTCATCTAGTGAGGAAGCCTTGCAGCGGCACCTCCAGGGGGCAAGGGCTGATAACCGACTCACCACTATGTGGGGTTCAAGTAAGGGCGGAGTCTCAGGCTCCCCACAGGAGGTCCGGTGCAGAGCTCGTGCCCAGGCACAGCTCAGGGCTAGCCCAAGTCTCTCTCTGCCTGCTCTCTTGCTCGCACCCCTCAAAGCCAAAGGGCACCGAATCCCAGGGAAGGTGATTCATCCGATTTGGACAAAGGCTCCTTTTTCTTCAATTTTGATAATAGTTGTGTTTGGGGTTGGTTGTTTTGTTTTGTTTTGTTTTGTTTTGTTTTGCTTGCCTGGATTTTTAAAAATTTCTGATGTGGGTCTTTTGAAAAGAACCTCCAGGTGGCCCTTCACCTTTTGCGATGCTGGAATGTAATTGTAATGATACCTGATTATTCATTATCAACAAGGTCTAATAGTTCCTGAGTGTTTGTTTCGGCCAGGCGTTGGGTTAAGTGTCCCACACTGTACTTCTTTTTTTTAAGATTTTATTTATTTGCGAGAGAGAGAATGAGAGACAGAGAGCATGAGAGGGAGGAGGGTCAGAGGGAGAAGCAGACCCCCCCGTTGAGCAGGGAGCCCGATGCGGGACTCGATCCCGGGACTCCAGGATCATGACCTGAGCCGAAGGCAGTCGCTTAACCGACTGAGCCACCCAGGCGCCC